TCTCTCTCTCTCTCTCTCTCTCTCTCTCTCTCTCTCTCTCTCTCTCTCTCTCTCAATGTGTGTACGCGCGGCCACACATGTTGGCATGCCAGCGTATCCCGCATCGATTTCCCGCCCACACGCTCTACGTGTCACCCTCGCTGCCGCCCTACTCGTCATCCTTTCCATCGTCGGCCTTGTCATCTTCCGGGGGGCCCGCGCCCAACCAATCCAGCCGCATCATCTGGCGTTGCTATGCTGGCGTGGAATCCGAACACAATGCCGCAGGGTGCCCAATCTGGGATGTACTTCGGGTACTCTCCCAACGTCGCGTTAGCCTTCCCAAGCCTCTCTGTCACAAGTTCGTAGCGAGGACCACTGATCGCCTATGTTCGAAGGACCGATGCATGGACGCGACGAGCGTAGGCTTCACCACGAGCTTGGCGAAGTAGAAAGCTTGTAGTGGCTGCGCAGATCATCTCCCGCCATGCACATCAACCACATGCTCGCTGCCAACAAAAGCCTGAAACAGTCAGCAATTCGCGAAAGACGGTCGTATGTGATGAACCCACCGTCGATGTTACCGCCCATTTGAACCGCGGTGTGGAATGCATGCGCGATGCATATAACAGTGGACTCCTGGTAGGCTGCCATGTCGTCGTCTTCGGGCCTGTCGTCGTTGTTAGCACCCGCAAAGCACAGTGGCAAGTCCATGCACAGGTCAATTGTGTGCACACAGACAGCTCCACTAACGACGTTGCTCCACTCCTCGCCGTACCACATAGCACGCGCAATGTCCATCGTGGCGGACTCCAATGCGTACTGGAAAGCCAGATTGTAACCTCAAGGGCAGCTCCCGGACTTGAACACCCACCTGTGCAAGATGCGCAAGACAATATTCTCCACTGCCGCACGGGAGATCGCTTGCTGCAGCTGTGCGGGGTCGGTGATCCTAACTACCTTCGTCGTGGATGATTTCGGCATCTCGATGCTTCGAGGGACGGCGGGCGCTGTGAGACCGCTCGCGATGGCAACAAAATACTCCCTCGTTTCGTGGACGATGTTGTATAGTCTTCGCCCCTCCCCCGTCGTCCAGAATGCTTTGTCATCAACCCAGAGCCTTGCACGGTCGGTGAGATCTTTCACTGCGACTCCCCTTCGTAGCCGGCTCAATTCCAAGTTGTCATCCTCCCGATCGCCACGCGCCACCTGCCGCTCGACTTGCATGTCATCTCTACCCCGTCCAACGGGGGCCACGATGCCTGAAGTGCCTGCAGCGGCAGCACCGACTGCCTCGCCCCCGGCTGCGAGCGCGTCTATTTGGGCTCCCCCCCCGCTACAGCGTTCGACAGACCCCCCCCTTCAGCACGGTTCTGCTGTTGTGGCGCCGTCGGCGTGGCCAATCGTAAACCCTGAGGTGGCCTTTCGTCAATTGCGCCGCTGGCCTCACTGACGTCGCTATGCTGGCTTGGGTAAGAGCACACGGGCGACGTTGTTCCAACTGCTAGTCATCATCGCCGCCAACATCGACCACAACCGCCTTGTTCCCGCCCGCGGTTTGCTCAAGCACCCGCTGGCGGCCACTCTCACGCACGACAGACATGGTCGCCTCCACCGTTTCTTCCTCCTTCGCGAAGACGTCGTCGTCGTCGCCTTCTGTGGTTCTCGCCCAACCTTGCGCTCCATGAGGAGGTACGCTTCTTGAACCGCCGTCCGAACGACCCCTCTTCGCCTTGGGGACATGTCGCCGACCTCTGGCCCGCCCTTCGCTGTCGACGCATGTGCTATCCCACTTCCTACCACAGGCGGCAACTCGCGTTGACATGGTTCGTGTTGGCGAGAGAGCTCCGCGGCGAACCTCGACGCGGCGAGAGAGCTCCGCGGCGAACCTCGACGCAGCGAGAGAGCTCCGCGGCAATATGGCGAGAACAGCGACGACGCCGATCCTCGACATGGCGAAAGAGCTCCGAGGCGATTAGGCGAAAACAGCGACGGCGCCAATCCTCCATGTGGTGAGAGACGTCTGCGGCGATAAGGTGAGAGCAGCGACGACGCCGATCCTCCACGTGGCGAGAAATCTCCGCGGCGGTTAGGCGACAAGAGTGGCGATTTTGAACCTCGACGGCACTGACGACAATACGGCGACGACTGCCTTTGCGGCGACGAAGAACAAGGGTCGACGACGCTAAGGCAAGAAGAGATGGGATACGTGGTGAGAGAGCTTCGCGACGATGAGGCGAGAAGAGCGACGAACGTGGTGAGAAAGCTCTGTGGCGATGAGGCGAGAAGAGCGATGGCGCCGGGCCTCGACTGCAGTGAAGAGGTCTGTGGGGACATGGCGAGACAGTTGTGCGGCGATTAGGCGAGAGAGCTCTGCGTCGACGAATCCAGAAGTTGGAGGGTGTCGACGAGTCCAGAAGTTGGAGGGCGGCCCACGTGGTGATGCTCCCTGTGTAGTAGGTGTCACGAAGGGCTTGTATACTCAAGACGGCGCACGCATACGATTTTTTTGCCGCCCAGGAGGCAAATGCCGTATGAAGACAGAGCAGGTGGACCATCCACAATGTCGCTTGTTTGGTGGACGGCATCGTCGACAGTGACATGTGAGACCACAGCCGGCCTAGACTGGCCATGCGCGATGGTCCATCCTATCATGTTCTGTCACCGCCGCTCTCCCAAAGCCTCGAAGAGGCCCTTCGACGACCCCAACCACGTGCGCGTGTACAATCGCCAGACGGAAAAAACCACCAACCTTTCACACTCACAAACTACCCCACCCAACGCCTCCCAACACCCCCCGCCCCCCTCTTGGCAGAATCCAGAACCCACAGAACCGCTTTCACACGCACAAACAACAAAAATGAAGTAGGCGCTTGTTCCGAAAAACTGCGGCACCCGGTAGTGCAGGTTGTGCGGAAAGCGACCGGACTAGTAAAAGGATGCTTTGCAGCTAGCCTATGTCAATTTGCGGCTCGCAAATGTTGACACGTGGCTCTGTCGATTCGCAGCTCGCAAAACACCCACCAAGCACTCCCCCGAATACAATAGAACATAATTTTTTTTATTTTTTTTTAATTACTAACGATAATTGGACGACGAAAATACAAAAACAATCAGCCCTCTTGCTAATCGTCGCAGTGACATCAACAAGGGCGGGAGGAAGAGTCATCAACCACGGCGCTTGGGTCCCGAACTGGAATGGGGAAGCGAAAACCAGGAATTACTTCGGTGTTGTCATGATCTGTCGCGGATGGCTCTCGCAATCTCCATGAGGGCGTTGCACATCATCTTGTTCGCCTCATCCGCTGCAGCATAATGTGTCCTCTACACTTCCACTTCGCTTTCAAGGATTTCGCACTGCCGTAACATCATGGAGCATTGCCGCTTGCTGCCGTTGTCCATGGTGCCTGCCATTAGGGTACCATGTCTGTCCATGACTTCCGCGACTGCGTCAAAGGTCTGTTGTCACACGTTTTTCCTTTTCCCGAAACTGTCGGCGCTCCCCGTGCTGAATTTCGAATCTTTCGTTGATCCCTGGTCGTCGTCAACCGGTTCCCCTCCACCCTCGCTGCCCATGGACTTGCCTCCCGGCTCAGTGCCGCCGGCATCTGAACCCCCGCCCGCAGCCCCCGTGTCCGCCAGATTCTTCGGATGGATTGTGTGATTCCCCTTTGTCATCGCCTCCATCTCGTCGTACAAGCTCCGGTCCATGACAAAGTTGAAGCCCTCCGATCGCCTGGCCGATTACGCCAGCTTGAAGTAGTCCCTCCCGCCGGAGAGCTGCTGAAACTTGTGAACCTTCTTGAACTGCTGCATCAGGTTATCCCACTTCTTCCCGCAATTGACGGCCTTCCTCGTCACGCCCGCCTTGTCCAACCTCACCCGCACATCCTCCCACTTCCACTCCCTGGTCTTCATGCGGCCGAAATTGTGCCCCATATCCGCGAAATACAAATCTTGATCCCTTTTCGCCCGCATAAGTGTGATCGTGTCTCCGACGGACCAGAAATTTCTGGCTCCCTCGCCATCGCTAAATTTCGGGTCGTCGTCCATTTTCTTGTTCCGCTGATTCCTCGTCGTGGAACCCTTCCTCCCACCCCCTCGGCCGCCCTTCGCCTTCCTCCCAAACGACCGAATATCCGGCAATTCCTCGGAGTTGTAGCCCTCTTCACCGTCAACGTCGTCGCAGTCGTACAACTCGTGATCTGCCATGTCATCGCCTTCATTGACGTCGAGCCATTGCACTCCCTTCGTTATGGACTCAGTTCCAGGTGGACGCAAGGCCTGCCTACACTCTGCCCACACCTGCCTGCCCATGCGTTCGACGTCCGCACCTGCCGCGGAGGCGTCCAAATGTCGCTCTCGTCTACGCGGAGTCCTGGATCCGCTTCCCGACGCAGGCGATGATCGCATCCATTCCGGACGATGATCTCCGCTGCCTCCTCCACCGACCGACGCCACAGACGACAAATATCGATTCCCGCCACCGTCATGAAGCATTTGAGCTTGCCCACCGTCTCGCGCCCCGCAAGGAGCAACCCATGTCTGCTCGGCACAATCCCCATCAGGGTGGGGATTGATGATGCGCGTGGGTGTCACCGCCGCGCCGCTGCTGCTCGACAACTGGAAGGTCAGATCGGCTCCTACATTGCCATCATCACTGCACAGCCCCTCGTTCAGCATCGACGTGTAAGACCACGGGTCTCCGCCTGCCTGCCACTGAAGGCCTGGGTTCCCGCCCAATCCTGCGTCGAACCACTCCCCAACGGCACAACGGATGACCTCACGTCTTCGCGCTCGTCATCCATTGGCGGCAGGGGAATCTCATGCGAAGGCAGGTGAGCGTACAACATCGGGTCGTATGCTTGGTTGCCCGTAGACCCTGCAGTGCGTTGCCGATTGCTCAATCCTGCTGTCGTGCCTGCCGGTCTGCCATTGGTCAGTCGTTGCTCCATCCTGTCGCCCTTCTTCAAAGACCTTCGTTTGCGAGCCGTGACAGGAAGCCCGCCGAGGAAACACACGTGGAAGAGGACAACGATCACAACCAGCACGGCGATGAGGAGTACAAGAGGCAACCTGTGATGCATGTCGGCCATGAAAGGGCCACGGACAGGACAGCAACACGAGGTCATAGGCCGACCGTCCACCGAAGAAAGTCGTCGTGGACAGCAAAGGAGGGAGTGTACGTCGACAAGCAACACGTGATGACAACAATGAAAACGACGATCTTGTACGCAGAAAACACTTGCATCGTCGAAGAATGTGGCGGCACTCGGAAATATTCGAATTTCCGACCGTTGACGACTATCTACCCGCGCAGAAAACACAACGACGTTTGGCCGGCAACCATGAAACCGGCGAGCGGAGGCCCAAGCCGTCGGTGACCGTTTGGAGCCGTTGGGTTACCCTCACGAGGGCGGAGGGCAGGGATGTCCGTGCTGCCGTCGGGCGGACCATGTCTGGACCACCCTCAAAACGAAACTCCGCGTCGACGCATGCCTTCGTCGCTCCGAATATCGCGCGTCCTTGTGCTCCGAGGGACCTTGGGAGGTCCCTTGGGGACTACGAAGAATTGGCTGGAGCCACAAGGACGCCATTTTCCCATTTTTTTCGAAAATCATCCCGGAGGATAGGTGGAACGATCACGTCCTTGTGGATTTCGGGTCCCCAAGGAGTGTCTAACGACGCCCTAAGTCATTAGAGAGTTGTGCTGATCATGTCGTCCTGACTGCGACGTTAAAGAATTCCTGAGGAGTTATGGGGGATCTCCTTAAATGCCTCCTGATCAGCGATGGAGTTTTGTAGTGATAGCCTAGAAGTAGGTCCAGGCTGGAGACCCTAGTTGACAGGGTCTGATCCAGAGAGAAAGCCAGGTGGGATTGGTCTTTGGTGCATGGTGCACTGGGATCTGGAAAGTTTCGGTGATAGTGGTGGCGAAAGCTTTCGTTGGCTGTGGTAACCTGGCTGGATCAAAGAAGAGGATTTTGTGGGAGTTTCGGTGGCAGTGGCGGCGAAAGCTTCCGTCGGTTGTGGTAACCTGGCTGGATCAAAGGAGAGGAGGTCCACAGAGAGTCAGTCGATGAAAAGTCTAAGTGGTGAGGAGTGGAACTGTCACTTGGTTGTGCATCTTTCACCATGGTGACCACACGAGCAGGAACGAGCACCACCCCATATAGTAAGGCTCCAGAAGAGCAAGTCGCCGCCCTGTTGAAGGAGAAGAAAGAAAAGACGAAGAAAAAAGAGTTGATAAAGCAGGCGAAAATGCTGGCCTTGATAGAGGAGCAAAAGGCCAAGCAAAAGCAGAAGGAGGAGGAGATGGAGAAATGAAAGAAAGAGCAGGAGGAGAAAGTGGCGGCGATCGAGGCTGAAGCAGATGCTGAAGTAGAGAAAGAAGAAGAAGAAGAAGTAGAGGTTTCCCTGCAAAGGAATGTGAGGAGAGAAGAGAGGGGGGAATCTAGTGGAGCGCGAGAAGTAGACGAGAAAGTGGAGAAGATGGTGAACGAGTGGGTGGCCAACCTGACAGTGGGGGAGGAAGAAGAAGCATTATTGCTTGTCCCTCAAGCAGAGAGGGAGGCGTTCGCAAGAAAACTGGAAGCGGTGGAGAACCCCTTGCAGCGACAAACCATAGAGATGGAGAAGAAGCTGGAGTGGAAACTGCACCTGACAAGGGAAAGAAGGAGGAGATTGGAGGCGGCAAAAACGATGGAGAGAGAGCTACAGGCCGCAAAAGAACAACGGGGGCAATTGGCGACACAAGTAGACCTCCAAAGGACAATAGAGATTCTTTCTCAGAATATGGAGGTAGTTTTGAAGGTCCAACAGGAGCAGTTGCGGTACCTGAAAGGCCATGATATTGCCTTGCAGTCCATACGTAAAGGTTTTAAAGATTTTGCACGGGATATGATGACACGCGTGGGCATTCAGTTGCACGCTGTTATGGAAGGCACTGAGAGGTTTAGTGTAGGCGCCATAGAAGGCGCCAAGTTAGCGGCTCCTAAGGAAGAGGAGGCGCAGCCATGAAGAGAGTGTGTTAAAGTCAAGTTCTCTGATCCCTATAGCGGGAAAAAGGATGAGGATTTTGATAACTGGGAGGCTAATATTAACTCCTACTTGCATTTGCAAGACATCGCGCCCGAAGATCATGTCCTCGTGGCCTTTCAGGCCCTTAGAGAAGAAGTGTCCAGTTTTGCTAGGTCGCTAGCCCGCGCCGCCAAATGCGAGAATGATATGGTGGCATACTCCATCATTACTCCTTTAAGTGAATTTATGAAAGCCCTCCGGGAACGATTTGCAGCATAGTTGCGGCGCATTGAGGTGCGCGCCTCAGCGCACGTCTG